CCTTTTGCACCGGCTACCCTCTCCGAACCACACCAGGGCAGGGGTAGGCACGGTTTCCGCGCGGCAGGAACATGGGCACCGCTGCAGTGGGGCATCCCTGGAGCTGCTCTCACACGTGTGGGGCTAGCGAAGCCCTGGAGCTGGGCCAGTCGCTGCAAGGAGGTGCCGGCCAGGGGCTTTGCCCCACAGAGCCCCGTGGCTCCACACCAGCAACCCCTGGGATCAGGGCAGGGGCTGCGCCTGACACTGCGCTGGAAGGGCAGGCAGGAGAGGGAAGGAAAACTCTGCTGAGCCCAAACAGCCCTCTGCAGGCAGGCAGGGTGAGAGCATCTCTGTGGCAGCCAGCCAGCTGGAGCAAGGCCCCAGGGCATCCACCAGTCCTTCCCCACGCACAGTGGGCCCTTCCCCTCCCCTCTGCTTTGTTTCACCTCTTCCCCACCCAGGCCTGCCCGAGATCCCAGCGAGCGCCTGGGCGGTCGTGCACTGTGGTCTGTGGTGGGGATGTAGCAGAGGCAAAACCCTCTAGGGTTTGTCCAAGCACATGCAGAGGCCAGCAAGGGCAGCCGGGCACCCTGCCCTCCATCCCCGCACCGGAACCACTCCCCTTGGCTACAAACTGCTTGTCCTTCTGATCCAGGTTTGCTGTGGGGGCCACATAGTCCCTCCAGATCCTCAGCTTGCGCTCCTTGGCGAACCTGGCAGGGAGGGGGACAGGCGTGATGCCCAGGCAGGCGTCCCCCGCAGGGACGGACGTGAAGTATGTTAAATCGCCCAGCAAAGCTCTGGCAGAGGCAGTGGGGCTGGTGCAGACTTCCAAGGAGAGATCGCATCTACCTCCCACCCGGGAGAGCACTGGGGGTATGCCACACGTGGATGGGGAGAGGGGGCTGGAGTCACCCCAGGCACCCCACGGGTGCAGCTCAGAGTGTGCCCACCCCAGCACCCAGCCCTGCAGCTCCCGGCATCAGACTCACCTTTCGGCTGCACGCAGCTTGTCAGCGCCGCGGGTGTAGACGGCGATGGACCAGTCCACGCAGCGGGCAAAGCCCTCCTTCAGCAAGAGCTCGGTGATGTTCCCATTCTGCGGAGAAGGGGAGGAGGCACATGCTCAGCTGCGGGGGACGTGGCATCGACATCTACCCCTGCGCCCCTGAGGAGAGCTGGTGTCCCGCTGTCCCTGCCCCACTGTGAGGGGGGAGCCCACTCACCCTGCTCAGCCCCTCAGATGTCACAGGTCCCCAAAGAGCCCTGCAAGGCCTGGTCACAGCACCCGGTGCCCCCAGGGCTATCGGAGACCACCCCAGCGATACCCGCGGGGGTCTGCTCTCCTTGTGGGCTGCTCAGATGGACCATGGTCTCCCACATCCACCAGTAAAGAGCCCACGGCTCCCAGCTGCCCTAAGCCCTCACCGGAGGCACCTGGACCTTGCAACCACCTTTAGCATCTCCAGCAAGTGATGACCAACGGTCCAACAGCCCGACGGGACCCTCTCCCACCCCTTGCCACCGCCAGCCCCACTTGCCGGGTGCAGGATGGTGCCCAGGATGTTCTGGTTGTGGCAGCTCTCCAAGACAATCTGCACGTCCCTCTGCAGCAGCCGTGACTCCGTGAAGAACTTCGCTTCGGCTGCAAACGGCTCGGGGACTTCGGGGGCATCTGCCTCCCGCTTGAATGTGGGGCACTGCGGCAGAGAGGGGACGGTCAGGGCACGGGCTGGCCCCTAAAACCTCAGCAAGGGGGTGGGAAACCTCCTTGGGGACGAAGGCTGCACACAGCCCCCGTGCTCCGACTGTAGCTTCTGGGAGAGACAGGCTGGGGGGCTGTGCATATCAATGCTTTCATGCCATGTCGCACTGACACAGCCCTTTACCCGCCCCAGCAGACACCGCTGGGAGCAAACTGGGGTACGGAAACCAACTCTGAGCATATTCCTGCCTAGGGTTCATCCACCCTGGGTCAGACAGGCAAGGAAAAAGGCTCTGGCACTCCAGCAAGGGCACAGCGAGAGGGAGCCGAGGCAGGAGGCTCCCCAGCACCGCTGGGGTGGGCAGGCAGGGCTGCTCTGCCCCGGCCGCCCCAGGAGCCCCCATCCCACGAGCCACCCTCCACGTCAGCCTCCTGCCGTGCCAGGTGGCCGAGCTCTCCAGCCCACGCAGCAGCAGCCACCCCGATGCCAGCCCATGCCAGCAGGGACGACCACTCACCCAGCGACCAGGGGATCCTCGCAGGGCGGTCTGACAGCCCAGAGCTCAGGCTGCTGCCAGGCCTGGCAGCACGGAGCTGGTACCCACCTAACCCAAACCTGTTCCCATCTCCGCGGTGACACCCCGCACTGGCATGCGCACAACCACGGGCTGCAACCAGCCTGTTACTGGAAGGCGCGTGCAGGACAACACAGCGAGCAACAGGGCAAGCTGTACCCCTGCCTCCATCCCTCCCGGCCCTGGTCCCGCAAGCCTGGCAGCAGGCAGGCATGGGTGCAAGCCCTGCACACTTGCACCGGTGCCGAAAGGCGCCAAGGAGGATGCACGATGAACGGCAGTGCAAATTCAAGAGGGAACTTGCGGCAAAGAGGACTGCTGAGCATGCCAGCCTGCCGGGGCCAGCAGCCAAGCCTCACCTTGATCCCCGAGAGCATGACGGTGACCAGGTAGTAATCGGGGAGGAGAAGGGCTCTCACCACGCTGCCGTCCCGGACGTGCTCTATGATGGCTGCGGAGCAAAAGCAGAGAGGTTGGTCCTGCTGTGGAGGGGCTTGGCGGGAGCCATGGAGCCAGAGCCAGCTCTCTGCTGTGAGAGGGTGCCGGGAACAGCACCCAAGCGGCACAGGCAGCCGGCCCCTGAGGCCGCAGACAGGCAGGCAGCAGAGGACGGAGGACAGGGGTGACCCCAGTGCCTGGCAGCGAGGGCCAGAGCTGGTGCCAGCTTACCGTTGACTGGCTTCTGGTGCATGGAGTCCACGAAGTGCCGGGGGTTTTCGATCGTGTACTTGAGATCCCGGATGGTGTGAGAGCCCGTCCCCTCACTCCACATCCCCTTCTTGGCACTCTTGGCCTGCTCCTCCAGCTCCGCCAGCCTGCTCTGCTCAGGGCTGCAAGGACAGGACAAGACAGGATGAGGCCAGGTCTGGGCCAGGCAGGACGCTGCTGGTTCCTGTATGTTTTATCACCGGCAACATCCAACTTCCAGGCACTTTTCTGGGTGCTTTAGCAATCTGACCACTCGCGTCTAGAAAAGGCAGTTCCTGGGTGAGCTGGTGAGCGATGCTTCGTGCTGCTCACAGCAATGCACAGTAAATCAAAGTAAGTTCCTCTGGCACCACAGCACAGAGTTGTCCGAATACCTGCCACTGGAAGCCACACCTCTGACAGACTGGGGAGGTTTAGGCCATGCAACCCTTTCACAGGCTGCTTTGTGCGCTGTGATGGAAAGGCAGCCCTGGGGAGACAGGGCAGCGGCAGCCCCAACTCCTGGCACGGCAGAGCCCGCTTCGGGGGAGGAGGGACAGCAAACCCAGGCATGCGGCTCACGTGCCGTACCAAACCACAGGGCGTCCCCCGTCCTGCACACCAAACCACAGAGCGTCCCCCGTCCTGCACACACAGGCGTCTGCCTAAGGCAGAGCACAGCAGCAGCCCCCTCCCAGCGCCGATGGCCAGCCCCACCACGTGCTGTCACAACTCGTTAAACAAATTCGGTGACACTGTGTTTTAGCATTCTTCAGCTCAGGGCTAAGCTGCAACCTGATGAATCCCGAATTACCGCAGAAGCACCCAACCTGAGCAGCTGACAAGTGAGTGGCTAAGAATCGCCTCATGCACTCATTAATTAACACACCTTTTGATTTAGGAGAGCAAACACTGAGCAGCGACACGCTCCAGGCAATGTTTAATTGCAGGAACCTCAGTCCTGTGCTAACTGCGCTGCACCAGCCCCATCGCACTGGTGATGGAGCTCGGGGCAGCGGCATCGCCCAGCCTCGGGGGGGCGGCATGTCCTGCTCCCGCGCCATCATCGCCGGGGTCAGGGTGACCGGCTTTACTGGGTGTGCTACCAGCTGGGTGCACTTGCAGGAGGAGGTTGAAGGAGAGGAGCAGCGAACCCCTGCAAGCCCGAAGCCACCAGAAGGTCCCCGTGGGGCTGCCCAGGGCCCCCCAGCACAAGCAGCGGACAACAGCACCCAACCGGCACCCCAATTTCCTTCTCTCCAGCACAACAGGCCAGTCCAAAAGCGCCTGAAAAGTCCCAGGCAGCAAGTGCACGGGGAACCTCGGTCACCTCTCTGGCTGGAGCGAGGGGCTCCCCGAGCAGCAGGCGTGGGGCTGCTCTGCTCTCCTTAGCTGACCCACCACCCAACCATCCTCCGATGCGATCAGCGGCACAGCCGCAGCCGAGGTGCTCCCGCGGTAGAGCCGGG